TTTTATCTAATAGTTTCAGGTTCGTATTCATGGTCTCGTTATTTGATTGTTCGGTTGTACATCAAAACCTGAGACTCGGTTCTCTGACTTCGATCGGTATTAGAGCTTCTGTGCTGTAAACCAATGAGAACAGGGTAGCCCCGGTACTGGACTTCGTGGTCATACGGTAAGCCCATAGGACTTCGGGCATGATTTCTTTCCATTTTCCTTTGGCGTCGGTCAATCTCTTTCTGAGGTTTTGGAGTATGGTTTTGTTCGTGGACCTTGCTTGCCCGTTCTCACTAGGGTGTGTCACGACCTAAACCGATGGACTTTGACGAGTGCCCGAGTTTTACCTACCGAACACCCCTAAGCATATGTCTAAGATATAAACATGAAATAAGTGTAGGTCATGCTTAACATCTGCCCCTAAACTGCTGAATCATGTGAATAACATACGTGAGAAGACATACTCAAAAGACATATATACATATACATGCGGAATATAGTAGGGCGAGCCAACAAGGCCACATACTATCCAACTAAAGATGACTGTCTACAGACCTCTAATAGAGTGTAAAACTGTATAAAAGATGGGACTGGGCCCCGTCATACCCTTATATGTATACAAAAGTATCGTTCCAAAACCCAATTGTAGCTCTGGATCAAATATAGCACACCAACTCTCGCTGATCTAGGATCCTAAGGAGGGGGACCGTCAGCCTGTCTACCTGCACCCGCGGTCATGAAACGAAGGCCCTAGGCAATAGGGGCATCACTACGAATAATGTACTGAGTATGTAAGGCATAAAATTCAATATATAAAAGGCATGAAAGAAACATGGAGTAAAGAACTCAATATGTAAGTTTGAATAGCTCTATGAATCATGAAAATATTTATAATGCCATGCGTATGCATATAAATGTCATATCATGCATAGGTATATGCGTACATAACATCATCAAGCCCCTGAGGGCATCCCATCATATCATCTCAGCCTCTGTGAGCGAAATCATAAATGTATACCAGCGGATCAGGTGGTGGTGCATATATAACGCCATAACCTTTCCCCCATACCCCATATACATATACTATACGTGTATATAACACCATCTGGTCATGGGTCAATATACATATATAAATGAATGCAATGCATAATGAAATAAGTCAATAAGATCTCTCAGAATGTAATGAGACCCATGAACAGACAATATGGTAGTAGGACATATGGGGAATCAAGAACATAGGTAACCCTAGTACTTCTAGGAATAGAATCATTCGTGAAGGTGGCGTGCTTGCTCGTTTCGTTATATCATATGGATCATGCCAAAAGAAAAGAAGGGATAGCCTTAACATACCTGTATAATCACTTCCTTATTACTCAACCAAGCTCAACACAACTTCTTGCATCTATAACAAGTGAAATGATATTGTCGTTAACATATAATGTCGTACCATCGTATTTGGCTAGTCTTATGGCTTAAGGAAAATCGGGAAGCAACTCCCCTATTTTTAATACATCTCAAACACCACTAAGGGTCATCAGCAGCCCAACAATAACAACTATAACCAACAATAGCAACAACAACAATATAATCCAATATGAGTTTCTCCAATTATCTTAACAATCACATTGAGTGGCAAGCTCATTTTTACTCATAACAAGATATAAATTAAATCTAACTCTTATTCCATAAATTAGTTTACAACCTTCAGAACATCATACTTATATGTACTATATTATTTCTAGTTCAAAACATCCACAAAATGCCTTTCAAAACAACCTCATATGTCTAGCACCTTAATTTTTATCGTCAATCACTTGTTTTTCATCTTTTCTTCTTCAATCAACTTAATTAACACCTAGAAAAGCTTAACAACAGCAGCCACAATATGATCAAATTATTTCTCACAATTTTCAGCCACCACAAACCATATATTTAGCCACAAAACAGTCCAACCTAAAAGACCACCATATTCCATGTTCTTTCAAGTGCTATCTTATGGTTTTTCACTCAAACAATACAACCAACACAAGATTAACCTTAGGTACAATCAAGAAGATGTTATACATACGTTGGATAGCAGCTACAACTCGAAACCCTATCCCAACTTAGCTCACAATAGCCCTCAATCACACCAAGCATTCTCTTGTAGTCTTTAACATCTTTGATGAAGATTTGAGTTGATTTCCCTTGAGTTTGGTTCTTGGGATCTTGGGATATGTTAGGGAGGGTTTTGGAGAGCTTTTGGACGAAATTTGGGTGATAAATGACCCGAACTGAGGCTGAAACATCTTTTAAAAGACGTAAGGTTGGTGGTCATCTCAAGTGGGTCCCAACCGAGCTGCTTGCGCAGTCTCGCGAAAAAGCAGATATCTCTATACTCCGATGCCGTATCGACAAATGGTTTAATTCGTTGGAAACTAGACTCATAGATCTTAAATTTTATATATAATATGTCCCAAAAAGACCTACATAGCACAAGAAATATATTTCTCAAAAAGCTCTATTACACGGCAAATTATTAGTCGGTATTTTCGTAACTTTAGTCCGATTTTTCCCAAACTTTATATTTTCTATCCAAACATCGTATATAGCCATATTATGACTTTAAACACATTTAAATCATGATTAGAAAGTCTCATATTCATTACATCACCTTGAGACGCACAGGGTGTAACAATCCCCTCCCCCCCAGAAACATTCGTCCTATAATGCTAAACTCCCAGAAATCTATAAAAATTTTGGCAGAGTCTCCTCTGTAATGGTACTACTACCAACCTGTTACACAGCAAACACAACAATACAAAGCCACATAGGGACACATTCATCAATAACTCCAATGGCCTCACACGACCAATAACAATAACTAACATAAGAGTCAAGTATCATATGTGTACATAAAGGTTGTGATGTCTCAGTCCGATCCTCCTCCGGAAGTGGAAACAAGTGAGGATACCTAGTCTTCATTTATTCTTCAGCTTTTCAAGTCATCTCCTCCACATTATTATTTCTCTAAAGTACTTTAACCAAAGCTACATCATTAGTTCTCAATCTCCGAACTTGTCTATCTAGTATAGCAATGGGAGCTTCATCATATGATAGCTGCTCTGTAACTTGAACATCATCAACTGGAATGACTTTAGAGGGATCTTCAATACACTTACGGAGCATAGACACGTGAAAGACTGGATGTACATAATCCAAGTTGGAAGGCAAGTCTAACTCATATGCTACTTGGCCTACTTTGCATATAATCTTATAAGGTCCAATGTACCGAGGGATATGCTTTCCTTTCTTACCAAATCTCGTAACGCCTTTCATCGGTGATACCTTTAGGAATACCCAGTCGTCTACCTGAAACTCCAAGTCTCGTCGCGGATTATCTGCATATGACTTATGACGACTCTGAGATGCTAATAGCTTTTCCGTTATAAGCTTAATCCTCTCAACTGTATGTTATACCAACTCTGGTCCTATTAACTTAGTTTCCCCAATCTTGAACCATCTGATATGAGACCTACACTTCTGCCCATAAATAGCTTCGTATGGAGCCATCTGAATGCTAGAATGATAACTATTACTATACGCAAAATCAATCAGTGAAAGATGATCATCCCAACTACCCCTGAAGTCCATCACACAAGCCCGTAGCATATCCTCCAATATCTGAATAGTACGCTCAGCCTGATCGTTTGTCTGGGGATGAAATGTTGTACTAAGACTTACCTAAGTCCTCAATCCTTTTTGGAAGGACCTCCCAAAATTAGTTGTAAACTGAGCACCTCTATCGGAGATAATAGATATATGGATACCATGAAGTCGTACTATCTCCTTAATGTAAAGCCTTGCATAATCCTCTGCTGAATACGTAGTCCTAACAGGCAGAAAATGGGCTGATTTTGTAGGTATATCAACAATAACCCATATAGAATCGAACTTACGCTGGGTACGAGGTAAGCCTATGATGAAATCCATATTAATCACTTCCCATTTCCAAGTCGGAATCTCTATAGCCTACAATAATCCACCGGGTTTCTGATGCTCAATCTTAACCTGCTGACAATTAGGGCACTGAGCAACAAACTCTGCAATATCCTTCTTTATTTTATCCCACCAGTATATTCCCCGGATATCATGATACATCTTTGTCGCTCCTATATGAATAGAATAACGAGAATAATGAGCTTATCCCATAACCTGCTGGCGCAACCCTGCCACATTAGGAACACATAATAGACCTCGATATCTGAGGATTCCATCTCCTATAATCTCAAATGGTGTCTTCTCCTTTTGAGGGGTTGTATCTCTGTAGTGAGCTAGCACAGGATCTTCATACTGGCGTTCCTTCACTTCAGTTACTAGAGAGGATATTGTCGTGTCCTGAATAGTAACTCCGGTACCACCTCAATCTAGTAATCAAACTCCAAGATTAGCTAGCTGATGAATCTCACGAGCTATCTCACTCTTCTCTGGCTGTAAATGTAAGCACGTAATTTTTGACCCGTCATATTTTTGAGCTATTTTTAATGTTTAAAATATTTATTTAACTTAACTTTAATTTTTATGGAGTTTTAGCCAATTTTTACTTCAAATTACAATTTGAAAACACAAAAATATTTTTCATCTTTAGTTTAAGATCAATTAGTATATTTATGTTTATAGTATTTTAATTTTATCATGACTTTGCCTATTTTATCTATTTTTTTTACTTTATTATAACACTTGAAAATACTAAAAAAATATATAGAGTTTCATTTTTAATTTTTAGTTTTATTTTAACCAATTAGGAGTGATTTTAGGTTTTACAAGCATTTTATATTAATTTGGAACAAAGTTGGCTTTGTTAATGAATTTTAAGCTTTTCTTGTCCATAATTGAGCCCAAATTCGAATCTTCCACCTGAGCCCAATCCCTTGACCCAACAGCCCTTTTGGAGGAATTAATCCAAGCCATGCACTCCATCCCCATCTAATGGCCAAGGTCATTTTTCACAGCCATATAAAAATATCATCTTCCTAATTTCAAGAAACCTAGAGAGCCACACACCCTCCTCTCCAAGATCCAGCCGCCCAACCCTCTCTTAAGCCGCCGCCGCCGGTGGTGCTCCAAACACCACCCAACTTACGCCAATCTCTTTCTCTCTTCACCCTCTCGCCGATTCCAAGCCTCGAATCCTCGAAAACCCCTTCTAACTCTCAGCCGCCCCACTCCATCTTCACCCCATTCAACCACTTTAAAATCTTATCTCCTTCACTGTACCACCACTTAGCTCCACTATTACAATCAAGAATTGAAAGCATCTTTTACACATTTTGACAAGCACCTAGCAGTCATGTAAAAGCCTTGGCCGCCGAACTCCACTCCTCTTTCCACTTTCACCTTCTACACAAAGAACGTCCCTCCCCTCCATTATTCTGCTATATGAGCTTCTATATTCCAACTCTAGATATTACCATTGCAGTATTACTAAGGATTTGAGATGATAATCATAGATAAGATTTTCAAAATTGCACCGCCACAGTTAAGGTTGTTCGAGTTGCGCTCGATTCTAGTTAAAAAGCAAGGTCGTCGTTCAAGCTTTACAACGAAGTTTCCGTTCTTGGCTCGACAGTTCCGGTCCCATGTGATTTCAGTCGAGGATTTCCGGTCAAGTTCTGGCCTCGGTTCCTATTCACGCACTGCTACTGTAATCAGATGACTCATTTTGAGGTCCATTTCTTACTTTCTCTCGTTGGTTGCTATCTATTTGTGTGGGTATGTGATTTTGTTTAAATGATTTGATATTTTTTATTAATTTATATTTGTTTGGACTTCAATTGAAAAGCATGTTTAAATGAGTGTATGTGAAATTTGTACCCAACTTCTGATTCTCCTCTGGTGGTGTTCGAATTACTTGAGCAAATAGTAAAATTAGGAGATTAAGAATCGGGAAAGAAGTAAGGTTCGATAATTCGGATTGGGTTACTAAAATAATTAGATAGTAGTTTTTTTGTGATTTAAAAAGCAAAAAAAAATAGTTTTGGACTTTGCAAGGCAAATTGGTAGTAGCTGAGAACTAAAATTATAACGATTTGAGTGTAGGATGATTTTTTTTTTGTTTTTTTTGTGAATTTTTTATTTTGCTTTATTAGTTTAACCGCTAGGAACATGTTTAGGCCGTTAATGTTCGGATAGGCAAACTTTAGTATTTTGTTTGTTTTAATTTCGAGGCGAGAGGTCGTTCCCTTTAGTTTATATTTAGGGGAATGGCCCGTAGACTCTGTAAATATTTTTATCAGGAGAATGCCCCGAAGTATTATGTAGTTAGAGGCCAAAGACGGGACGATGCGAAGAAGCGTAGAATAGAATTATAGTATTTTTATTTTATTTCTTCTTTTATTTTTATTTTTTTAGGTGGGGACAACCTCGAGCCTCTTGTGTGTTTATGTTTCTTTCTTTCGTGTGTTTTTTGCCTCAGTTTGAGTTTTCTTAAAAGCCAACTTGATCATGTATGCAACCGTGACCTTCACGGGACTTGGGGAATGCCTAGCACCTTCTCCCCGAGTCAAATGAACCCCTTTACCTTGAATCTCTGGTGCAGTCATTTTTAGGGTCAAACGTGTTTTGAAAGAAAAATTATTTTTAAACGGTGACCTGACACACCGAAACCAAATGTCAGGTGGCGACTCTGAAAAATCTTTCGAAACACAATCTTTTGTCACTCTTCAAATTGAAACCCTTTTGAGCTTTACAAATCTTTTATTTATTTTAAAGAGGGTTAGTGAGGTGAAAAAAGGGGTGTGACAGCTTTGGCGACTCTGTTGGGGATTTGCAGGTTCGAGCTGATACTGTGATCTTGTTGGCTTTTTAGAATACTCAATTGAGGCATTTTTGTGTTTTTGTTTCTTGTGTGTTTTTACACTTTGTTGCTTAGTTGCTAATTGTTTATGTGTTTACCATTTTCCTTTATGTGTTACTGCTTTATAATTATCATCATTTGCATTACCCGGTCAATTCTTTCTACAATAAGTCTCGTAGTACGTGTGGCGTACACGAACTCTTTATTGAGTCACCCTTATTTTGGGGGGAAGGGGGGGTCGTCGGACGTATGGAGTGGGTGAAAAGCTTGAGCAGCCACCATCGACCATACGTTCCCCCGAATTGCCTTGTCTAGTGAACCTCAAACTTAGGTCAGCCTTTAGGTCATTCTTATTTGCATCATGTCATTTAGACCTAGTAGGGCTCGGTCCCAGGCACCGTGTCCCTTTGTAGGAGGCCTATCCAAATTATGTCAAAATAGGCCCGCTGGCCCAAAAGGACATTCAATCATTCTACGTGCTAAATGTTGCATCTTTGAGGGTAGAAAGGTCATTTAGCAGACTGATGTTTGGGAAAGAATGGTGAAAAAAGAAGCAAGAGAGAATATTGAGGGTTTTGTCACTTTTATATTCTTGCTCCATTTTCTAAAATAAAAAAAAAAAGCAAAAAGATTTTACACTTTCTTATCATTTTCAAAAAAGACAAAAAATATTTTTTTCAAATTAATTGCATTTTTCAAAACTTTCTCCCATATCCAATCCTCCCGAACTACACATACCTGATTTTCGTCTTTCGAGGTGGGATATGTAGGCAGCCCACATAGAGTCCGGTCTTCCTAGTTAGTCTTAAGTTCTTGGCTTCGCGGGGTCTTAGCCAAATATTACATGTCTAGCCACATTAGGTCACATCGGCCCTTTTTTGCAAAATAGGGATATTTTCGCAAAAAGTGGTTTGTTAACCCATGTCTTAGAGTTTTAAGTCTACCACAAGGTGTCCTCTCTGTCTAAGGTCCATTCATATTTAATTTGCATGCTTAGCCATTTTCGACCACATAGGCCATTTCTGCAAAGTGGGATCATTTTCACAAAGCAACTTTAGGGACCGCGATTCCTGAGAGTTTATGGGCCTTCGTGAGGTGTTTCCATATTTTAGAGGTCGTCCTAATTGAGTTTTCACTTTTAGCCACCTTTTGGCCACGTAGGTCAGTTTGCAAAAATAGCCTTAATCATGTCTTGCATGTGTCCAACAGGAAGTGTTATTGTCTCACATAGTATTCTAAGTCTTTAACTCTATTTGGTCTTATTTTTTTCATAAAGGTATAGATCCATTTGCCGGAGATTGAGCATGACAGACGCCCCAGGACCATCCAGTCAGGACCACTGCATTCATGAGTTGCTTGAGGATACTTTTATGTTTTGAGTCTGTCATTCATGTTGCCTTTTATTTTTAGTCTTGTACAGTAGTATCGAATCTTTTAGGTGGTGTCAGAGTCTGTCCTAGTCTAGTTGAGTTTGTCGAGTCTTTTGTTATCGTATTTCCTATTTTGTATGTGAAAACCAAAAAGAGTTATAAATGAAAAATTCAAAAAGATTTTATTTTTAGTATATTTTGTCCATTACTTTTCCAGAAATACGCTTGGTCTGATTCATGTGGAACATGATACGTAGGCAATCTACATCGGGTTCGATCGAATCATTTTAGAAATTAAAAGAAAAAAAAAGAAAGAAAAAAAAGAAAAAAAGGGATGTGAGAAGCGAGAAGCGAGAGAAAAGAAAAAGAGCGATAATCAGAAAGAAAAGAAAGGGAAGAAATGAGCAAATCCAGGAGCGTAAGAGAGGAAATGAAGAATAAAAGGGCAATGAGAGTAAAATTGGGATGATGCCATATGACCTTCGTACCCTCGGAGTCATTTTAGAACCGATAAATGTGACTAGGTGCATTGCACATAATGCGAGATTATCTTATGTTAAATGCCATAACGCTAACGTGATGACTTTATTTTGTTCCTCTTTGTTATCTTTATTACAGCAGAAGGGTGGTTGGTTTGTGGTTCTTAAACTGGTAACTCTTTCCTACAACATAAAGTCGAAAGGTAATGGCAGACGATAACAGAGTTGAGTTAGTCGATATTGGTACCCGAAAGCAGTTGGTTGAACAAGACATTGGGTTGGTTGAAGAGGTAAGTATGTTGAGACAACACATGTCGACATGTATCAGGCTTGGATGACTGGGAAGGCACCACCCCCGCCACCACCTGGCTTCCTAGATGCTACCCTTACCCAAGCTCCGGTCATAGTGTCAAATCATCCACCATATTCTCCGAATTTTCCCGCTTATCACAGCTTTTCTAACCTCCTTAGTAGCTCCATCGTACGTCCTCCAACTACCTTTCCCAAAAATAGCCCTCCTGATGTTGTTGAGCCCCGCCAACGACAAGTCCCAGTGCGCGTTCATGCTCAACACTTTCAGCCTCAACATCGACCCCATGAGTATCTCCTACTCCAAATAATCCTCCCCGATGCTACTTCTCTCCACAAAATCCCCAAAGCCATACCTCACCTTCCCACTACTTTATCCATAATGCACCACCATATGCTTCATATCCACAAGACCCGCAATGGCCTGCACCACCTCCACAAATGTCTTACCCAGATCTACAAGCATATAAACCACCTACCCTCAAGAGGTTCCAACCAAGGTCGGAGTACAAAATAAAAAAGCAGCAACAAAAGGTTTCACTACTATTGGAGAATCATATGCCAGTTTGTTCCAAAGGTTGAGGCAATTGGACATGTTGAAGCCAATTTATATAAAAATGTCGAACCCCCTTCCAAAGAATTTTGATTATTTTCAAAGGTGCGCATATTGCTCTAATGCCCCCCGGGCACAGTATAGAAAAGTGTTGGCATCTGAAAAGAGCAGTCCAGAAGCTTATTGATGCAGGTGACATTACCATGCAAAATCCAGATACAACGGATACTAGCCAAAGTCCTTTGTTTGTTCATAATGAGACGCATATGGTGGGCATGATTTGTGCTAAAAAGAAATGTGAGAACTCTTCTGAATCGCTTGGACGGCCACTTACCGCAAAGTTTTCAGCACTATCAGTCTCGGTTCCAGAAGTTGATCTTAAAAACGAGTTGGCAAAAGGGACCCAAAAGTTATTTGCTAAGGTCAACGTGATCGAGACTTATGAAGGTTCTGGTAATGTCTATGTGCGACTCAGTGGCTAAAATGTCGAGCTTGGTAATTGGAAAGACACTCCTTTCTTGGCTAGCCAGGGAGGAGTTTTGGTGGTTTATTTTGTTGTCATTTCTATTGTCCGAGTTATTTCAAGGTCGTAATCCGGATATTGTCTTATGGCTCAAACCCTTCTTCCTCATATTTTGCCTAGTTCGTTTAGTTGTAGTAACTGGTCTAGTGTTATCTAGGTATTTCCAGGGTTGTAACCCATGTCTATTTTTCTTGTTTTATTGTTCAAACCCTTTCACTGTCTGTCTAATGCAATCTCCTATTTTTCTGTTATTTCTAGTCCATCTTTGTTTAGTTCTCTTTTCCTTTTATAGTTCTTTTCATTGTTGACTCTAGTGATATGACATACATGCGTAATTCTCAGTCTGGTCTTAAAAGTTAGTCTAATTATGAAATAATGAAACAAGGTTTGAAGATGACATTGATATTTGAGGGAGATAAGTAATGATTTGGACATTTTGAGATCATTTAAAGCCTGAACTATGTAAAACTGGGCCAGATAGGTTGGGAAGTTAATAGGACGACAAGGATTTGGTATAAGAGAGTGCGTCCTAGACAATTTAAAGCAAGGAACTTTGAGTTCAAGTGCATCTCAAGTTACAAGATAAAGCCAAGGGATTTTGTCCCAAACTGATGGAGGGTATCCATTGTGAAGAAGAAATCACCCATAGAGAATTCTGTAGTTGACAAGGCACTAAAGAAAAGTGGAAGGCATATCAGTGATATCAATGCCGAAACTACAAAAGAAATGTTGTGCATGATCTTCATTTTTCATCCTCAAGTTGCATGTGTTGTACTTGGCATTTTCAGAGATTGGGAGGCCCTCTTTCAGCTATCCAAACACGTTATACCCTTCGGTACCCTTTTGAGCATGTGCTGATCTCTTTGACCTCCCTTCTTTTGGAATCAAGTTAGAGTCATAAAAAAAAAAGTTCGTGTCCCCAAAGGTTTGTTTTAGAAAGTTCATTCCAAGAGAAAAATTCAAAAAAAATAGAAAAAGAAAAAAAGAAAAAGAAGAAAAAGAAGAAAAAGAAAAATAGCAACAACAAAAAGTAGTTTTTTGAACTACGTTCGACCTGATTCTTATCCCCACAAGATACGTAGGCAGCCTTACGGTTCGGTCGCACCAAATAAAATATTTCATAATCCCACGAAGTCAAGAGTGGGGCAATTTTCTTAGAAATTCCATCTAAAAAAAAAAAGAGGTCCAAATTCTCTTGTTTTAGAAACCGGGGCAAAGTTTTAAATAAATTCCAAAAGTTGTAAATAAATTAACCATTTTGTCTTAGTTTGAATTTGAGCCTTCATGCCTTTCTTTCTTTCTAACCCTGTCCAAAAGCCAAATTACAGTCCAAAAAAGACCTCCCAGATGATCTTTGAGAGTGCCGATTTAGACATGCCAAGAGCATATGATATTTTTACCATGGTTAATGCTTTGTCATCTGCAGAATCAGAGGAAATAAGAAGAAAAGAACAAAATGAGAGAGTCTTATCGGTGAAAACACTCACGGGCACCATAAGGCGATGGTGAGTTGAGAGAAAGAACAAAATGAGAGAGGCTTGATAGTGAAAACCCTTCAGAGCACTACAAGTCGACTGAGGATCGGTGAAATAGATAGGACAATTGGAGCATTGAAGCCTAGTTTCACAGCTTAGAGGTATGACAAGAATGGAAGATTAGACTTGCTTGACAGATCAGGCCACTTAATCCAAGATGCACGTCATGGTCATTAGAGTTGGTGTCACATCAGATAACTTTCTACTTGGTAATTCTCTTGTTAGATGTCATCTCTTTCCATTGTCCCCTTACTTTGTTCTTCTTGCTTTGTTTAAGTCCTCTTTTTGAGTCTGCTCTGTCAGAACAAGTGAGAAATGACTTCAAAATTTGCTATCAGCTTTCCAATTGCACAAAGCGGAGTGTGACTAGCACATCAAAATGGCATAAGTCAGGGAAAAGTGGCATGCGTACTGAGTTGATAACAATTGAAGTGCTTTGGGATTCATGTGAAATGCAAAGGTTCGGTAAATGTCAATTCATGGGCACAATGCAACAGATAGAGGATTTGGGCTTGAACGGATCATAGGTATTTTTTGTGATAAGGGTGACTGAGAAAATGGTTAGCCAATAACAAACAAGGTCTTTCAAGTTGAAATCAAAGTTATCATGGCAAGTATAGGAGCAATTGCCCTCAAGATCAAGGCCACAAACCAACCACTATGTTTTAAACTCACAAGTCTTCTTTGCTTGAAACAGGGACGAAGACTATGTCCAAGTCAAAGATTGGAAGCTTAAATTTTTCTGGTGTCGTGCCCAAATTTTGTGAGCACAAAAGTTGTTTGAGAAGGGTTTTACATGCTAGACATTCCCCTAGTTGAGAAGATCATACCTCCTGGGCATTCTCCCCAGTCGGAAGAGTTTTTAGTTTTTCTTTAAGTTCAGGAGTCCCGCCTATAGAATAGGGTCAATTTTAGTTGTTAATCTTTAGCATTTCTTTAGTTCAGGGGTCCCACCTGGAGAATAGTGTCAGTTTTAGTTTCTCTAAGTCGTTAATCATTAGCTTTTCTTAAGTTCAGGGGGTCCCTCCTGGAGAATAGGGCCAATTTAATTTCCTTAAGTCGTTAGTCTTTAGTTTTACTTAAGTTCAGGGGTCCCGCCTAGAGAATAGGGTCAGTTTTACTTTAGTCAAGTTTAGTTCATAGTTTTCTTCAAGCTCAGTCTCACATCTAGGAGACGCATTTCCTAGTCTGGGTCTTTCAGGATATACTTTTGGGAGACGCACTTCCTAAATTGAGATTTCACCCCTAGGAGACGCACTTCCTAGTTTGAGTCATTGAGATTTCACCCCTAGGAGACGCACTTCCTAGTTTGGGTCATTTAAGTTCATCCATAGGAGACGCGCTTCCTAGTTTGAGTCATTGAGATTTCACCCCTAGGAGACGCAATTCCTAGTTTGGGTCTTTCAGGATATACTTCCAGGAGACGCACTTCCTAAATTGAAATTTCACCCCTAGGAGACGCACTTCCTAGTTTGGGTCATTTAAGTTCATCCCTATGAGACACACTTCCTAGTTTGAGTCATTGAAGTTTCACCCCTAGGAGACATACTTCCTAGTTTGGGTCATTTAAGTTCATCCCTATGAGACACACTTCCTAGTTTGAGTCATTGAAGTTTCACCCCTAGGAGACATACTTCCTAGTTTGGGTCTTTCGGGATATACTTTTAGGAGACGCAATTCCTAAATTGAGAGTTCACCCCTAGGAGATGCATTTCCTAGTTTGGTTCATTCAAGTTTCACCCCTAGGAGATGCACTTCCTAGTCTGGGTCTTTCAAGTTAATATTTTAGGAGACG